GTCTCCCGCTTCGCGGTCGTCCGATTTTGTTCATCACTCGTATGATTACAGACCGAATTGGACTCCACTCAGTCCTATTACCATTATTACACAATCATTCTATCGTAGATTTGTACAGAAATAACTAAGGACCTTTTCAATATACGAGTCCCAAAACAGTCGTCTAACATAGGGAATATGGCTCTGGTGAGCTCATTTTTTGGGAGTAGATTTTCTCAGAAACAACTAAAAATAACACCAATGAGCAGTAACAAATGCTTGCCTTGAAAGTTTAACTGTGGCTTTGCAGGGTCGTCATCGCCTTGAAACAGCAAACAAAGCGAAAAAAATATACGTCAAAACTTAACTATCACTAACACCGAAGGAAAAAACAAAATAAAGGACAACAAACCCTGTATTTTGGCTGGCTTACGCCACATATTCGCCATCTTTTCTTATCAAATTTCCACTATGACGAGAACATCAGACACCATCTTGAAGCACGAAACAACCAATCGGCGATGAGAAATCTACCCACGTGATGTACGTTTCCAATCCAGTCTTTTACTATCCATGGAAATATACAAGTAGACATCGAAGGGTCTCTCCGGCACGCCGTCAACAGCAGTAGATCGAGACTATTGGAACACTTTACAAAGCAGACCCGTATCAACTGGTAAGGCAGAAAACTTTATTTGAGAATAAAATATTAAGAACTGTGATTTAATTCATGAATTTGGGTGGAGTCTCGTTGAAAATATTGGCGGAAAAATGAATCCTTCTGGGGTTAGGGCTGTTCGATTTCTAACTACAGAGCGCTTTAAACATTTTTCTTAAATTATACTCCATGGATCTAAGAATCGAGTAACCGAAACATTTCGCTTCCTTCACAAAGTAAAGGCCAAAGTTCTCTCTCTCTTGTAAACTTTCGTTCGCGTCGCTTTCCTCCTGGTATTGTATGATTACATGTATAAAGAGATTAAACAACGGATTCGTGTATCAGCGTACATCACCGAGTTATGATGCAACTGCCGTTCTCTCAAGCTACCTAACGTAAGAAACACAACATACAACATGAAATTAAAGAAACACAACATAGCATACAACAAGACAGAAACATAACAACATAGCTAAATTTCATTGACACGTAAATAAAGTTATCATTATTAACATAAGCAAAAAATTGCATCAGGATAAAAACGGATGGTGTCCCGGGAAAACGGAAAAGAGTTAGCTTCTTGATTGCTTTATAAATTTCCCAAGTGCATCATAACTCATAATACACAGCTAACATCATGGATTATTTATTTTATAACATTGTCTACTGAAATGCGGGTTAACACGCAGACGAAAATTCTGTTTAAAAAGGCAAAACGTGCAGACACCCATGGCGCCAATAATCCGTGTTGTCCTTCGTGTTGTCTTGGCTCTTCAGTAAGATCTAGCCCGACCGAACAAGTAGGTAAATCGTTTTGCTTGTCAAGTGATATCCTTGAACGCAGGATTGCATTCATTTTTCTGGCTGAAATTATTGTTTTATTGCGCTATTCGCTCAGGTCTATCTCATGGGAAAATTAAAATTCAGGTGAAGTTTCTCTTCGTTGTAGTACACTCTGATCCACCCTATCGTGTATGTACTAAACTTGATTTTAGAGCACGGCTTTGCAAGCTATCAACTGCATTACAGTAAATATTTACGACGTCCGTGCTAACGCCAGACCGCTTATTTACATAAGTTTGGTGGTCGAGGACCAAGCGCGATTGTTCAGTGAAGCGAGGCTCTTTTTTTCAACCTTGACTGCCCAACTGTGACCTAGCTTATGTTTTTTTTTTTTAAATCTGTTTTAATGGAGGAAACAAATCGTTATCCACTGAAAACTAAATAAAACTCGCACGGAACATGGAAGCTTTAGACGAGTTTCAGACTGACAGAGCTATGAGAGAATGCCTTCAACTGGCGCCTATTTGAAATACGGACGTTTTTTAAACTATAGCATTATAGTTTAAAAAAACTAAAAAACAAATTTTGGATGTACCAATATAATGATTCTTACTGAAGTCGGTTAAAGTTGAAATACAGCGTTTTCATCTCTTTGAAAGGCAGGCGGGTGATATTTCAACATTTTAGAATTTGTCGAGGAAAAGGTTGTTGTTATTCATCGTGGTGGATGCAATAATAAAGTGTATTATCGTTTGTCTCACGATGTAGTCACTTGAGATGTAGATCAAGTGACTACATCGTGAGACAAACGATAATACACTTTATTATTTTAGAATTTTTAACAAACCATCATGTTCCGACATAGCCCGGCGTCTGTCCTCATTGACGTGAAACAAAAGAATAGTGAAAGAGATAAGAAAAAAACTAAAAAACAGGTTTGTTCAAAGCCCGATTAAGCTAAACCAGGATAAGCGAGAATTTTGATTTGAGTTTTGTAACTTTGCGGTGAGGTTTTCTGTTTACATTGTGGTTTGGGTTTGAATAATCTCAAACTATACAAAACAAAAGTAGTGAAAAACATTTGTATGCAAGAAAAATTTATACTTCGGTTAAGTTTTGATCCGGCCTGGGTTAGTGTTAACCGGCTTCCGAACAACCCGGCCCTGATTACAACAAGTTAACCTGGAATGAAATCCAAAACCAGTACTTGATCAACAGTCAACTTCAAAAAACATGTGACTTCAATGAGCTCTAAATATGAGCCCGGGATATGGCCATGTGATACTGGTCAACGGATACCTTGTTTTGAAAGGTGTCAATTGACCACAACATGGACATGCATAGCCAATATCAAAGATGTACATTGTAAACCAAGGCTGCATGACTTGGTATTAGCTGGAGTATGGCCGCCATGTTGCGCGTCGTTGTTGGGCGCACACGCCCGCGATCCATACCGCTAGCTATGTTGACCATGAAAAAGAGTTGCATGGTTTTATATTTCTATGCATGCATGTAGTTCTGTTCCTACAGTTATGGTGCTCCGCTAAAAGGAGAGTGCATAACTAATATACTGTAGATGCTACTTCGTTTATAGTTAAATTTGGTAATTTGAAACTGCGTGGCGTCAGAATCTAGAATGATAATTGCGACACACCCGAAAGGGGCGGGCAGGTGCTTACTAACTTGAAAAATAGCACTCTTTTTTCCAATACTATACTCGCTAATAGGAAATCAATAAGTAATTTTTTAGATTTAGCTTCGAGCTTGGTTCAGAATAGAGGTGTAGGTCAGCTTAGGTCTGAGGCTAGTGGTTCGTCTTTAAATATTAGCACGGTAATACTGTGTAAGGCTGGACCATTTGACTTTGAACGGGATAGGTACGATACGGAAACGCTTGCATGCGAAGGCTAGTAGAAGTATATCTGGCTCTTCAACTTCGGCCATAACATTCAAAATTGGATAAAAACTTTCTATAATAATGTTACCAGCTGTGTTCTGAATAACGGTCATGCTTCAACGTTTTTCTCTTTGCAGCGGGGAGTCAGACAAGGCTGTCCGTTGTCTGGCGTCCTCTTCGTTCTTGGCATAGAACTCCTCTCTAGATCCATAAAAATGATCCCACTATTTATGGTATCCAAGTCAACAAGCATAAGCTTAAAATAAGTTAATATGACGACGACACAACAGTATTTGTTCGTGACCTCGACTCCGTTACGAGTCTATTGAGGGTGTTAAATGATTTCAAAGAGCATTCTGGTCTAGAAATAAACACCAC